ATTTTTAAATTTCTATTAATTCTTTCAAATTGTTCGGCTCGGTCCGATTATTTATTGCCTGTTCTGCAAGTCTCCCAATTTTATGTCGAATCAAAGCGAAATCTTTGTTGTTCACTCAGTTTTACCAAAGAAATTTAAAGTCAAATCGGAATTTTCAGAATTAGATTTTTGAGTATTACTTTCAAAATTAGATCTTTGAGTATTACTACTACTTAAATTTTCCTCATTATTTACCATAAACGAACTTTCAATGAAGGAAGTTGTTGCTGCTGGTGTACAATTTAACATAAAATTTGTATTTGTTTGTGTGCATATTTTGAACTTCAATTCCCATTCTCATTGAAATTTTTTGCGTTTTCGTAACTATACTTCTGAATTCTTTTCTGAATAGCGGCATTTTTAATTTAATCTAACTACTATCTAAAAAATACTTATTTATTCAGATGAGTATGTAACGCAATTAAATATGAAGTCGAAGTGTATACATAGTGTCCACGTGATGCTCGCATGGCCGCTGTCACCACTCTTTTTGGCATTCACCTTGCTTCTGGGAAAACCATACCGAAAACTCAGAAGAAAGAGTTCGCTGTTCGTCTTAAAATCACGCACAAGCTGACACTGAAGATGATTGACTTCGGGGTTGATCCGTTCCTTTCCAAGATGGTCCGTTTCATGTTGAAATGTTTCACCTCGTGATGATCCATTTCCCACCACTGTCACCAATTTTCTGTTGCGTTTCTTCAGGATTTAATGGAGAATTTTGGCGCAATTCGTTATCAAAGAGCAATAAGGGCGCTTTGTTTGATGTTCCGCTAAATATTTAAATAAAAAACTGATTAATATTTAAAATGAATAAACTTTAACGACTAAATTAAACTTTATCACTTTCTTTAATTTGAATTTAAACAAAATCCACTTCAAAACTAATTTAACTAAAACTGAATTTTACAATCTGATTTCTAATATTTAAATCTCTTTTAAACGAAGAATTCGGGTTGCGCTTTTAAGTTCTGTTAAGGACTATAGATTATATAATAAAATGTTACCGGTGATACATTAAACTCGTGATGTGCAGAGGTAACAATTACACGTAGTGTACAGTCGTGTCCATCCGACCCGCGTGATCGCCCGGAAGAAAAGAAAGATTCGAAAAGGCTGCAACGACACGCAAAAAACAATTGATCAACGCAATATCGATATAATTAACCACGCGGTGATTGCCGCGTATTTCGAATGAACATACTAACAAGTTCTATGATTTTAATCATTTTGACTGAGTTGAATTGAATGTCATAGAAAAACATCAATTTGTTTTTAATTATTTTCTCTATTAGAAATGGAATTAAGAAATAATTTATTACGCAGTGAATTGATTCAATTTATAATGTTTCTTTATTAATCTTACTGCACAAGGAAGTTCTGATTTAATAAATAAACCATGAACTTTTTTAAATAATGAATTGGGCTCAATTAAATCTATAAAAATATATATATTTTTTCTTAGATATAGAACTATTTATACTCTGAATGCTTTTTAACCGACTTCGAAAAAGGAGGAGGTTACTTAATTCGAGCAGTATTTTTTTTTTCTTTTTTTTTTCTATGTACGTTCACCGATTACGCCTAGCTGGGTGGTCCGATCGGAACGAAACCTTTTGCATCTGGTAGGTTCTGACTCCCCATTGGTATCATTATCCAAAAATTTTTCATTTTTTAATTGCAAAGTATTGTTATTGCAAGACAACCGGCAACTTTTGAAATAAACTTTTCTCGATTTTAGTGCGCTTTTAATATCTTATCACGGATATGATTCTGAACAATTTTGTTCATATACAAATTTCGCGAAAAGCTTTAGTTTTCGAGATATTAGCGAAAAATTGTTATTAACTTTTGAAATCAACTTCGAACGATTTTAATGTCCTTTTAATATGTTGTCAGGGGCATGGTTCTGGACAACCTTTTCCTTATGCATAATTGACGGAAAACTTTAGTTTTCGAGATATTCGCGAAAAAGAAATTGAAAAACGAATATCCATGTTTTTTTTTACTTAATTATGTTCATGGCATTTACGCAGACAAAAAAAA